CCAAGTCAAGCTGCTGCTTTAATTCATTCTCCTTCACGTCTATCTGCACCATGAAAAAGAAACAGGCAATAAATTAAATTTCTTCAGCTCAAGGTTAACCTGGAAATAACAAATAGCGCAATCGACAAGATTCTCAATCTTACAGCATCATAAATTTCATCATTTTTCTCAAAGTCACCACTTTTGCGTGGGAGTATGTGGATATGAACATGAGGAACTGTCTGTCCTGCCTGAGGCCCGTCCTAAGGCATCAACAAATGTCAAGAAGTTAACAACAACAAAAAACCATCACTAGAAAATTATTCCTTCCCCAGCAGCAGAAGCAGTCAGAGAAGGATTTCAACAAAAACTAACACAAAAATCACTGGAGTACGTAAATACTTGCGGCACATTAAAATGTTCTCATTCTTGTTAATTGATACTAATGAAGGCAATAATGCCATGACAGTGACTTTGCATATTGCGAGGCAGGGGGTTCAGATCCAGGAAGGGTCTCAAACATTTATTTCGCAACACAGGACAGAATTTGTTTGCTTGATTTTGTTAGCTTAATTGGTAACTAGAGGCTTGAAAATATCAGCCAAGGCAAAACACAACAGTTACGCTTTAATCCACCAGGTTCAATGCTCTTTGAAGCAGTTCAACTTATGGATCATCATTCTTGTACCTTTTGTATTTCTGTAAAACCCTTCAGACAGCAGAAGGCAATAATTAACTTAACATTTCCCAAACAAATGAAACAGTAACATTCTGATAAAGCTAAAGACTGATTGCTTTATCAGATGTTTAACCAAAATAACATCATCTTTAACTATTTTTCAAACCAGTACAACCTAGAATGCCAGTTGCAGATTATACTGTATTATCTCTTTCATTATTATTATCACAACATCAAGTATGTGACATCAATTTGAGTTATGCAACTTTTCTCTCTTTTTTATGAAGTGTTTCATTTGGATTGGTTCACGCCAAGATACGGCATCAACAACAGTAACTGACTACATTTCATATGAAGGGGAGTTTTGTCACCCCAAAAAAAGTCAAAAAAGGTGACAAAATGTCTAGTTAGTAAATCCCAAATTCTAGGTTGCAGATCCACATATTCAAATCTGCTTTTGCGAAAATTGTTATTCAACTCTGGGAAGATGTAGACTTAACAGAAGGCATCCAGAAAATATATGATGAAAAGATAGGCAGAATTCAAAAAACTAACTAATGATTGACATTCCAACAGTGCAGCTGTCTTACTTGGATTGCAAATGTGAGGGAAGATGCCTTGTGGAGCGACTCAAGTCGACCACCAACTTTTTGCGCTGTAAGCCATAAATCATGAGTCTCATCAGCAGTGAGATCAACAAAGCGCTTCACCTCACGCCTTGGGCAGACAAGCACATGTATATAATGTCAAGGCAATCACATGATGGGATTAGGTTCCTAACTGAACCATGCAACAATACCACCACCTTAAATATAAGGCATGTAGGCACACAACCATTTCGGTTTCAATAATATTACAGCTGTCAATTGACAAAAGCAATTAAATATTGTAGACACTAATGCAAATAGTCAGGATTTGATCATTCCCCTTTTGGCAAACACACCGCAGCCTCGGCAAAATATCATTATATGCAGCCCACAGCAGCATAATGGCATAGGCAAACAAGCATACAAAAAATTCTCATAAGGTCAACGAGTGACAAGAAGAAACGCCCTAACTTTAACTCACACATGGTTTGTGTCCATGCGCCCATACATAACACATGTATGTGCAGGAAGAATAATAAAACAAACTGCCCTGCTATACAAGTTAGAACTTACTAGTAACACTTTCCCCACCCAAATTCCATTGAATTATAATCAGCTTCAATCAAAAAGTAAGTTTGCCATGTAACTAGTTTCCACTTCACAATGCTGACACTGATATTGCCCCTGCTGCCATGATAGCTAAAGTAGACAAAAACTAACGTACAAAATCCTCACACAACCAGCTTATGAGTGTTCGTATATCTCTTACATAAGGAGATATGTGCCCATCTAGAACGACGTGAATGATTGTGCCACAGCATAACTGTTTGCCGTGGATTGCATACCGTCAAGTGACAACAAAAGGTATTACTGTGAACATTTTTCCGATTACATATGGAGGCTACAACAAAATTACCCAATTTAACCCGGATAAAAATGTATAATGCTAAAATAATTAGAATCAATTCCATATTTCTTTCCAACATAGACAAAGCAAAGGATATGACCTGAAAAAAGAAAAGAAAATAGATCACAATCAAAGAAATTACTAGAGAATGGGAATAGTAAAAAAAAGAAAAGAAAATGAACAAAATGCTTTATTAATGGCTAATACAGGGGATGGGCCTCATATATCGCCAATCAGAAGGAATAACAGAGAGAATAAACATGAATACATGCAAAATGATCAACGAAAAAATGAGAGTTTAAGAAGTCCTGGATCTGTATAATTGTGTATGATGTGTATGCTTTGTGTCTGTCTATGTCTGTTTTCACACACATGAATGTATTTGGTTGTGTGTACACAAGTGCATACATGCACATAACAGCTGCTGATGGTAATTTCTAAAAGCAGAAACTGGCTGATTACAAAAAGCTACGACTGATTGCCTGGAAAATGGAAATGCATCAGAAGGACCACCTTCAGTATGCTGGCCCTCGAATATTTTGCTTCCCGGATGTAAATTTGTGCACACTAGTGTTTAATTGAATTAGTAAAACATGACCCCAGATTCTACACTTGACGCATGTTACTTTTACATTGAGGTAGGCAAACACAGCTTGAAGAGACCACAATTAAGAATTTGAGCTAGAGTGGTGTGCTTCCTATTGATGTAATGCTAGGGTAGATGAGGTAGTGCTAGGGGTAGGGATGAATCACAATTGACATTGTTCTTTAATAAATCATGTGGTCCTCTGTTAAACACAATAGCGAGACAAGGTCCATGTAGTCCACTCCAGCTAGACATGATTCATATATTTGACTCCAAGATTCCAGTTGGTTGGGGCACGGCTTTGATAATTGAGTTCTTTGCATATATTTCATTAACCAACCTTAAAAATATAGAAAAGAATTAACGAGCCCAAGTAACCCTAAATACATAAACTAGAAGTTCTAAAACACCGACAATAGTGGTAAAGAAATGTCTGCATGAAAACAAGTTTTCCATATAACGCGGCCTCAGAAATCATAATCAATTTTACAAGACTACATTCACAGTCTTATCTTAACGCTTTCGAATGAAATACAATGTATGCCTTGGGAAAACCCTAAATCGTGGTGCACCACAGGCATGATTGTAAGATTTATGCACACAGAACCCAAGTGGTCACCCGTCTCTGTGTGTGTGTGAGTGTGTGCTTGTTTGTTCACATATATATATAAAAAAATTACCAGGAACAACAGGGCGGAGGTTGACCATGGCATAGGAAAGGTCGTTGAAGTAGAAGACTTCCTTGTGACCAATTTTGTATGGTCCGAACGTATAATACTCCGACTCCATCTGAGAGAATTTTGATGCGAATATGAATGAAAATTGCATTACAACTGCCCGAGCGAATGAACTGAAATTCCAACAAAAACGAAAAAGTAAGCTATTTACGCTTGCCTTGTGGGTAGATGACGACGCTCTTACAATGTGTAAGCACTGTCTAAGGGAGGGCTTGGTGGTGACGGTGGTGGTGGGAGAAGTGGCGGCGATGGATCGGAGTCCTCCGGATGAATACAGTGAGATGAACCGAGAGGAAGATAAACAGGGCAGCAACTTTAGCATTACTTTAGACTTCGGTGCTGCTTTGTGCCTCGGGATTCTCAAATTTTTGTAATTAAGTTATTTTTATGTCTTGGGTGCTCTCAACACGTCAACAATAGATTAGGGTTATTTTACATTCTTCATTCGAAATTTTTATGAAGAAAAATTATATTTTTTATACCCATCAATCGAAAATTAAGGTTATTTATATGAGTAAGAATTATGATATTTTATCTTCCTATCAAATATTATATAAATTAATTTTTTTTATCCGACCTTATCTGATCAAGTGTATTACTCCTACTTGAATTTCGTCCAAAATAATCAAGTAAAAAATTGGGTGAACATATATTTTTTAATTATTAAATTTGAATTATTTTAACAATTTAATTAAGTAACTTGCATTAATTAACCAACATAATAAATCAATAATACAAAAAAAACATAATAAATTAAATAATACATAAACAATTACAATAAATCACAATAAAAAAATCATAAACATCAGTACATCAAGATTGTTGTACAAATATAATACCAGTTGTTTTACGTCTAAACCATATCACACACACACACACACACACACATATATATATATATATGCGGGTAGGGTCGAGTAGGAATACAAAATTTTTAAGGGTATTCTGCATTTCTATCCAATTTTTATGGAATACCAAAAATTCTTCCTTTGGCCTATTCGATCTTTTACGATAGCCAATTGGTAGGGTTGGATAAGATCGGATAGGGTCAAAATATGCGAATAATCAAAAATTTGAACACCCCTATCAAACCAAACCAAGCCTTATGTTCCAATCATTTGGGATCAGTTATATCAATCCATCTTCGTCATTCATTTCAATCATGCGCTATATGTTCATTTAAGTTAAATATTTTCATATTTTTTCTTATTATGTTGTTCAATATTAGTTTAGGTCTACCTTTACTTCTAGTACTATTAAGAGAAATTCTATCACTTTTTTCTAACTGGTGCTTCTATTGGTCTCCATTGAACATGACAAACCATTTTAATCTATTATTTCTTAATTTATCTTCAATTAGAGCTACTCCTACCATTTCTCTAATACAGACATTTCATATTCTATCATTTCTAATTTTTCCACACATCCACCTTAGCATCTCATTTCCGCTACACTCATTATGTCACTATGTTGTTTCCTAATTGTCTAACATTCCATCTCATACAACATTGTTGTCTTTATAGCTATTTGGTAAAACTTACCTTTCAATTTTATTGGTATCCTTCTATTACATAATATGTTAGAGGGTTTCCTCCATTTAAGCCAATTGGCGTTGATTCTATGAGTTACATCATCTCCGATCTCTCCATCATTTTGAATGATTGATCCTAGATATCTAAATCATTTACTCGTTGGTATTTCTTGATTTTCAATCTTAACTTTTCGTTATGTCTACTTGTTTTATTACTAAAATTGCATTTCATATATTTAGTTTTACTCTTACTTATTTTAAATCCTTTCGAGTTAAGTGTCTTTCTCCAAATTTTTAGCTTATTGTTAATCCCTCTTTGAATCATTTGCACATAGCATACATTGTGGGACATCATCTTGAATGTGCCTAGTGAGTTCATCTATAATTAGGGCAAATAGATATGGACTTAGGGCCGATCCTTAGTGTATTTCAACCATGATTAAAAATTCTTTATTTTCTTCCACAAAAAACTTAATTATAGTTATAGTCCTGTCATACACGTCCTTTATCACCTCAATATATCTATTCGTCACTCATTTTTTCAAAAACCCTCCATATTATTTCTAGGCACTTTATCGTATGTCTTTTCTAGATTTATAAATACCATATGAAGATTTTTCTTATTCTCTCTATACTTTTCTATGAGTGTCATCAATAAATATATAGCCTTCATAGTTGATCTGCTTGGTATAAACCCAAATTGATTTTCCTACACTATAGTCTCAACTCTTAGGCGATGTTCAATGACTTTTTCCCATAGTTTCATTGTATGACTCATTAATTTTATCCCTTTATAATTATTACAATTTTGAATATTTTCTTTATTTTTTGTAGATAGGTGCTAAAATACTCTTTCTCCATTCATATGATATTTTTCTAGTAGCAATAATTCTATTGAATAATTTCGTTAGTTACGTCACCCCCCTCATTCTCTAAGCACTTTCAAACCTTAATTGAAATCTCATCAAGTCCTAAAGTCTTGTCTAATTTCATTTTCTTCAATACAAATTTTACCTCTGAATTTTTTATTCTACGAAAGAATGTTTTATGAATCCTACAATTTTCTATCTCTTCTAAGTTTTCTAAGTGATTGTAATTTAATAGTTTCTCAAAATAGTCTTTCCATTGATCATTTATTTCCTTATCTTTAACTAAAGCTTTTGAGTCTTCGCCCTTGATGCACTTAACTTAGTTAAAGTCTCTTATTTTTCTTTGTCTAATTTTAGCTACTTTGTTAATATTTTTTTCTCCCTGTTTACTATCTAATTTTTTGTACAACTCGTCGTAGGCTTTTAACTTACCGTGTCTAACTATCTTTTTGACTTCCTTGTTAGTTAATTTATATCTGTGGAATTTCTCGTTAGTTCTATCATTTTGTCATCTCTTAAAGAAATATTTCTTTACTTTAACTATATTTTGCACGTCGTCATTCCACCACCAAATTTCTTTTCCCATAAACCCTCTACCCTTTGACTCTCCAAGAACTTCTTTCCAATTTTCCTAACGTCTTCCGTCATCATACTATACATATCGTTAGTATCATATTCTAGGTTCCATAAAGCCTCCTTAAGCATTCTACTTCTAAATAGTACTAGTTTCTCATCTTTTAGATTCTACCATCTCGTTCTTGTTTTTCGAATGCTTCTATTTACTCTATGTTTCCTTTTATATATAAATCTAGAATTTTTAGCCTATGTTAAGATGTTAAGCTCTCTTCCGAGATAACATTACAATCTTTAGATGCTAATCAGTTTGTTCTTCTACTTAAGAAGTAGTTTACTTAACTTTTGTTTGGTCTATTCTCAAAGGTTATTAGATGTTCTTCTTATTTTGTAAACAACGTATTTGCCACTTCAATGTCATATGTCATTGTAAACTCTAAAGTACTCTCTTCGCAGGGGCAGAGCCAGGAATTTATACGTGGGGGACACTAACTATAAGTTTAAAAATTTGTCTTCTTAAGGATTAAAGTTAAAGACAAATAAATTTTTTAAATTATATATAATACCTAAAATTTCATTGACAAAAGAGTCAAAAATCAATATACATAGGGTACAAAAACAAAAAAAAAAATTATAAAATAAGGTTTTAATTAGACCCCTTTACAAAAAATGAGACTAATTATAGTCTTTTACAATTGGCTACAACGTGATTTCATGTTTTGAAAGCGTTGCATGATAATCAATGCAATCGAAAATGTCATTCTTTATGTATACAATCAAGTTATTTGTCATCCATTGATCGTTCATTCAATTACGCAATCGATTCTTCAAAATCTTTATAGTCGAAAATGATCTCTCTATTGTGGCAGTCGCAACTGGCAAGATCAATGTCAATGTCACAAGTAAGTAGACCAATGGATATACCACGTATTTTTTTGTCTCAACCATTTTCTGGGTAAGATCTCCAATCCCCAACAAATTTAAAAACTAAATACTACTAGCGCATATCAATAATATAACTATCCAGCTGATCAGAAAGTATCATGAGTTCTAGTGAAGAAAATTCTTTTGGATAAAAATGGGCAAGACAAACCAATTTCTCATTGTCAAAAGCTAAGAAGGAATCAGAAGAACTCAAACATGTCACATAAAGAAGTAAATTAGTGTTTGACTCGATAAAACAATTATTTAGCTCTGGAAGTTGCATATTTATGACGGTATAAAATAACTCAACTTGATCGTGATACAAATTTGTCTTTTCTTGAGTACGTCTTGACCTCCCTCGTGCTTTAAAGATATCATCCATCTTTGGAACAACTATCTCATGTGTTTTCACAAAAAGATGTGACATCATCAAGAAAACAACTCCAACCATTTTTCCTCATTATTTGAAGTCATTGCTTGGATACTTGAACTAATGTCATGGCATTCACGATATCTTGATCTTTCCTTTGTAATGCCTGTGACAACTCATTTGTGATTCCCAAAAATGCTTCTCATCAAATGAAGATTGAATACAAACTCAAACAATTATAGCAAATCCAAAAGAATATTTGCCTCCCCTCTTTGTTCTGCATTTATACCATCTTTTGAAACCATATCAAGTACATCAATCACTGATGAGAACATATCAATCAAGCTGATCAAAGAAGAATAATAATATATCACAAGCACATGTAAGATTAATTTCATGATTTAGGTCTCGCTTACTTGAAAGCTCCTCATTATGGAGTAATTTAATAACTCTAGTTGCTTATTTCTCCCTAAGAATATTTGGTCGTTTACATGAGGCTCCCACAACATTCACAATATTAGCAACCAAGTTGAAAAGAGTCGTGATGTGAATATGATTCTTTGCAACGACTACAAGAGCTAATTTCAATTGATGCGAAAAATAATGGATATAATATGCATATTTATTCTCTTTCATTATAAGTGTCTAGAGACCATTGAACTCACCTCGCATATTACTAACCCCATCGAAACCTTGCCTGCCCAATCTTGACAAGCTCAATCCATGTCTAGCAAATAAATCTTCTACAGCTACCTTAAGTGAGAGAACACTAGTATTAGTAACATGTTTAAAACCTAAAAAGTGTTCAACTACATATCCCTTCTTGTCCACAAATCGCAACACAACAACCATTTGTTCCTTTGTTGATATGTCATGTGATTAGAAAACAGTGCATCACCAAGGTGGGTCACAAATAACATTACACGTTTCAACATAAGCTACAGTTACAATGTCTTTTTGAATTTCAGGCGAAGTCAACTTGAGATTCTCAAGAGCATTTTTCAACACAACAACTTTAATATCCTCATTGTGATCCGCAAGAAATCTAAGAAGCTCAAGAAATTTTTAT